TTTCTACAGATCAAGTGTCAAAATATACATATGTGCAAATGTGTAGGGTTAAGTGGGGTAAATGGAAATTGGGACAAAAGGAAAAAAATATTATTTAAAATAAATTATTAGTGATTATAGAATTCTGTATCATTGTAACCACAGTACACATAAGGTATAATAGTGTGCAATGATAAAAATATGAAAAATTAGAGGATATGTATAAATTGTTATCACTCGAAAAAGTGTTTATGATTATTTTAGATTATATTTTCTTCTCAAGGTATTTTGAGAAGGGCATCTTCATCAAAAATTTAAGTAGAACAGTACAGTTTGAACTAAATTGTCATTTCATATTTACTTATTTACTATACGGCCCTAAAACTAGTTTAATATCACTTTTTCTATGGAATTATATTTTTTTTGTAAAATACAAAATAAAAATCAATTGGGTAAAATGGAAATATTAATAACAAATATAATTTGAAATATTACGATCTTTATCATTTTTTTTTCAACTTCAGAGTGCATAATTATATCAAAAAAACATATTAACAGTCGTAGAAAATAAAATTTCATTAGAACCTTCAACGTCAAACACTTTTATAGATTAAATTTTTCCAACATCAAGTAATAATATCTCAGTAAGCCCAAAAGATATAATATCTATTTTTTCAATTCAATTAATACAATATAAAACTAACAATACAATTTGTGTTACAAAAGACCAAGTTCCTCGTCTTAGAGTAACAAAGTATGGTGAAGTTTTATCAAATAAAAATGTGTTAAAATAATTGGAGGAAGCAATCTCAAAGAAAAAGCTAATCAAATATAGATATATTGGACATGATAGTGTTGTTTAAGATTATGTAGACGTTGTTCTTGTGTCTAAAGTGTCTTTTGATAACCATTTTAAATGATCTGTTCCAAAATATTCTTAAGTCGAGCATAACACTAAAGTTTTCTAAGTTTAATTTTTTTAAAAGAGTAATTAAGTTCCTTAAATATATAGTTACCCCGTGTAGTCTTGTTATGGATAAAAGTAAATTGGATGTTGTACAAAAATACCACCAGCACGTAACAAGAAAGAATTACAATCTTTTATTGGTTTTTGTAATTTTTATCGTAAGTTGTTAGATCATCCTGCGTCGCTGATGAGTCCTTTTAATGAACTGTTGTCCTTACCTGTTTTCAAATTTACTGATGAGCATCGTAATCCATTCAAACGTGTAAAAAATTCTTTTTCGGGTGTCATTCTAGTGCATTGTCGAATGCGAAACGCTCGACTAACGCGTTGGACATTATTATTACAATAGTATGATTTACATATTGTTCATTATCCTGATATTCAAAATGTGATAAATGTATTATCCCGTAGTCTTGTGGGTCGAGATGCGTGGAAGAACCCATGCCCCGTTTAATGTCTTTAAGGCTTGATGTTCCGCCGAAGATTCCTGATGACTTAGTTGTTCTGTTTAAATCGATGGTCACCCATTGACGGTCTGATCCGAAATTAAATATTGTCATTCAGAAATTTTACACTCCACGGGTGATTCTAAATAATCCGAGTTCTATTTGCTGTTTCTCTTTAGTTATGGGTCCCTAGTTGATTTCGTTACACAAATCTCTAATTTCTATGTTGTTGTAAAGTTTTATGAATTATATGGTCATGCTGGAGCAAAGAAATGTTTGGGTGTTCTTAAAGAATTTTTTATTTTTAATAACATGGATATAATTGTTTGTCAGTTATTTCACCACCAGGTATCAACCAGTGATATATGTCAGTGGACTAAGCATTCTAATCAGCGGGGAAGGTCTTATGCAGCATATCATATCGGAAAATGTATTGGACAAAGTTCTAGTTGATATTTATGAGCCACGTATCGCAGTGCAGTATATATTTATATATTATATATATAATGGAGTGCAGTATATTTTTGTGGTGTTAAGCAATTTTTCAAGATTTGTTCGTTTGTACACGTTAAAAAAGGCCACGACTTCAGATGTCCTTAATCGAATAGTTATAGATTACATCCCCTCTCACGGGAAATCCAAACAAATAGCTTCTGATCATGGCAAGCATCCGTTTAAGGCAATCTCGTTTATCTGAAATTGGCATTCCTCCTACACATACAAGTGTATATAATCCGCAGTCCAATCCCTCTGAGAGTGATACGTGTACTGGGACGTTTATTTAGGACGTATTGTCAACCAGTGTGATTGAATTCCCTTTATATTCAACAGTAACTTAAGAGTGGAAACTTATTATGGCTCCCAAGTTCAATGTTCGAAAGCTGAACAGTGTCGACATGATCGTAAAGGCCCCGCGGTATCGTTCGGTATTAGTGATCAAGTTTTAGTGCGAATCTATAAAATCAGTTTTGGAGTTGACAAGCTGATTGGAAAATTCTTTTTGTTTTATGATGGTTCCTATTTGGTTTTTGAAGTGAAGCAAACTAATTCTTATGTTGTAACTTGTCCATTAACTAGACGTGTCAAAGACACGTTTAATATTGTTTTTCTTAGACGATACAAGTCGGCTGATGCCATTAGCTGAGTTAATATTTGTTATTAGTCATATTAGAAACTTTTTTTTACGTTTACTCCCTTTGAGAAGTTTGTTTCACTCCAAATTTTCTCAGGGGGGTTTCTGTAACGTGAATAAAAAGTACCTCTTCATTTGTTTTATCTATTTATTTGTCTGTATGTATGTATATATATATATATGTTCCTGGTACATATAAGTTACATATACATATATGTTCCTGGTTATTTTGGTTGAGCCGAATGCGTATTGTGACGGCGTTTAACATGTCGTTTTGGATAATTTGTAATAAGTTTGTGCACATTATCTATGTCAGCTGTGTCATAAAGGCTACATCAACGAACAGTTTGACAGATGTAAAATTGTGTACACTCAACTCTGCTCTGTTTCTAGTTCTCTAATCCATTGAACGCCATTAAACGTATCATTGTATGTTACATTGTCCAGTATGGGATAAATAATTTCATTATCTTAGTTTCTGTAATGTCCGACTGACCTTAACCCCTTTGAAAGGCTCGAGACTGTTAGGCGCCACTGTAGATTCTATACGACGTTTGTCGTGGAATAGCCATATTCGGAACTGGTCGTACTATTTTTCGTCCGCAGTGGTAGTTTTTTTTTAGTTGTGTGCGCTGCAATTCAGTTAATTATTATATATTTTTCGCGAGTGTCCGCTGCATTATTGTTATTTATTATGTAATTTTTTTGTATTCGTGGCATCAGCCGAACCAGCTTCTTGTTTCTGAGACCTTCGGAGTCCGTAACGTATAATTGTTTTTAATAATGTATTGAGCCAATTTTGTTTATGTGTTTAGTGCGCCGTGCCATATGCACGTGTTTTTTGTTTTTTTTTATCATGTTTTATTATTTTATACAAATTTTTAGATACCCAACGGTGAGGGACGCGTACCGACACCGTCCCACCCTTTTTATTTATTATTTAATAATTTATATGGTTGTGAATATTCTACTGGAAATATGATATGAATAGTGGTACATTCTTTAACCCGTAGTGTCCCAATACCTTGCAAGTAATGACCAAGATACAAACAAATAGTTCATCAACATACCATCGATTAGAATAGTAGTATACCATGTTTGACGCTCGTTGATCGCGCGGAGACGTTCATCGAATTTTTCTCATAAAAGTTGTAGGTGTAAAAATTTTTTCTCTTTCATTATTCCCTTTAATTTGTAAACGAGGATTTTTGATCGTTCAGTTTTTTTTTGCCCTGTGTTAACTTAATTTTTTGTTTTTTAATAAAGTTCCCTTAATTTAACTTAACTATCATTTTATCCTTTTTTACGTGCTCCATCTTCAATGGACTCGGGTATTTTGTATTTTTTTTTCCTTTCAAAAATCAACTTCCCCTAGTTTATAAAGTACGAGCAACGGCCTTGTCTAGGTCATACAAGTTATTATGGTTATATGACAAGTGTCGCGAGTTTTTGATGTACATTGACTGGCAACGACTCAACGATCATATAATACAAAATTACGTATTTAAGAGTACAATTTTTTTTGAACATATAATTATACAAGAATAATAATAATTTTTTTTTTGTGTCGACTCAAATTAGAATTTAAAATTTAAAGTTTTATTTTAATTGATTAAAATTATTTTCATTGTTTAATTTTCTTATTTCATTTAAAATCCTATTCCAGTCCGTTTTTATGTTGTTGAGTTGTTTATATAACAACTCAACTGTAATCAAATAAATAAACTAACATAAATCATAAATGTTAATTCATAAAAAAATATAAAATGTAGATATTATCAATCATTAAATTGGTATGATGATTACTTTTTAAGTAAAAATTTATTATCAATGAAATAAATAAAAATAAAATTCATTTGATACTAGAATATTAATAGTTATAGTAAAAAATGTATTAAGAATTCGGAAAAGAATAAATAATTCATTCTAATTAATTATTTTAATTTTTTAAATAATGCAATAGAATTTTTGAAACAATAATTATTTAAATTATTTTTATATTATGAAAAAAATTCAGTTTTTAATAATAATAAACGTATATGCATATTATCACTGTGTTGAAGTATAAAATATCGATTAAAAAGTATTATACAGCGAAATAATATTACTACCTTGACAAAAAACATTATGTGTAATAGTTAAAATTAATACATACAATAAAATATAAAATTAATACAATATAAATAAATACTGTAAAATATTTATCTATAATTTCGTAACGTATATCCTGAATACTACAATATTGAAGTAAAAAATAATTGTACAAAGTGTTTTACAATCAAATAACATTAATACATTGACGAAAAAACATTGTGTATATTACTTTTTCAATTGAAAAACTAAAAACTTAAATAAATATTTTCTGCTATTTTAATATTTACAAACAGCGTTTGTAACAAAAATTTAAGAATTATGAATTCGAATTTTCTAACACTTGCTTCGAAAATTCAAGTGGAAGAAATTTATGCAGAATTAGGTACAACTGAAGATAAAATTAAAAATGATGTTGAAGCAATTATGGAATGGACACGAAAGCAACCTCACTTGCCAAACTTAGAAGGTATTAAATAGTTTTATTTAACCTTTTATCAAACTTTTAATAAATTAACATACGATTCTGTTAAAAACCCAGATAAAATGTTTGATCAATTAGATGGAATTAAAAAAAAATTCCAATTTAACCCTCTGCTGTGCGGCATCAGTGCTGCACTTTTTTAAAAACTTTCCTATATCTGAGTATAATTGATTGAAGCGACCAACAACTTTAAGTTACATAATACGCCACCAATAATTACCTAGTAATATTCATGGACGTGAAATGAGGGTTGTTACATTTAAAACGTGTTTAAAACAATGTGAAAATTTACTTTTGTCTTATAGGTCATTTTAAATATTACAAACAAGTTTACTAATGTTTTAAAATTATTTTTAACAATCTTGTATAAAATGAACATTTAGGTCAGAAACAGAAAGTGAAATCATTTTTGTTGGCATGTAAAAACAGCATAGAAAAAACAAAACAAAAAATAGAAAACCATTATACAATAAAAACTTTATTAACATATTTAACTCGCATCGAACTAACGAATCAATTTATTGATAAAATGAATGAATGTTAGTAAGTATCAATTATTAAAATTTGAGATTTACTTTTTAATTAAGTAATACTATTTAAACATTAGAAACGAAAAGGTTAATTATTCAAAACAAGTCATTATATATGAAAAAAAATTAGTCTCTTAAAATTAATTTTTTCAAAAATATATTTTTTTACTACATTTTTTTCTAGAACATCTTGCAAACGTGAAATTAAAACACTAGTTAGAAAATTTTATTAGAGTTTATAAATGATTTTGCTTAGATCGATTGTGATCAGGAATGTATATAATAATATATTAATAGTTATTTTATACAGAGTGATTTTTTTATCATAACCCACTCAATTACTTACAGAATAATAATAATTTAAACATTTTTTTTTATTATCATCTTTAGTTACACATTATTCTTGAATTATTAACTATGTAATACTTTTTAAGTTCATCCCTTATGCCTGGTGAAGGTGTCAACTTTTTTTAGTGATTAAAATCACTATCATAAGAAAAGCTTCCATGCAAATCTGTAGATAATATTTAATTTTAAGAAGTTGGTGGATAGTTACAAAAGCAACATTAACCTTAATATTAAAATAGCATATTTTTGAATACGGTAGCCATTTTCGCATAGAAGATAGGTCGTCGGGACAAATTTTTTTTTTCATTTTATAGTACATAAAATAAGCTTTAATTTGATATATGTTTAAAGGACGCAGTATTTCCGGAACACTTTTACAAGTTAAGTTGAAAAAGTTCTATTTTTTATACAATGTTTCAAGTTTTGAATGCCCCCTATATATGGGGAAATTGTCCAATTTTAATAAAAAGTTTGTCAAATGAAAGATGTACTTATAGTATATTAAGAAAAAAAAAATTTGTGCTAATAATTACATTTTTCGAAAAGTTTTTAAGTTGAAAATTTAAAATCGAAAATTTTAACACAAAAATAGCGTTTTTTTAACTACGGCAGCCGTTTACATGCAGAAGATAAAGTGTCGGGACAAATTTTTTTCATTTTATAGTACACAAAATAAGTTTTAATTTGATATATATTTAAAGGACGCAGTATTTCCGGAACATTTTCAAAAATTAAGTCGAAAAAATTAGTTTTTATAAAAAAGTTGCTATTTTAAATCCCCCCCCAATGAGCAGGTTAAGTGTTAGATTTTCAAAAAAATAATATCAAATGAAAGGAAAATATCTAAGGTTTTAGTATAAAGAAAATTATGTTGATTTGTTTATTTTTGAAAAAGTTATGGAAGTTTTAAGGAAAAAAAATGACAAAATTTACCGATTTTTAAATTTGTAATTTTTTTGGATATTTCCCCCATTTGCGGAGAACGAGGAAACATTTTTCAATTTTTAAGGGTAATGTCTTCAACTAGATACGATTTGTGATCTTTTGGCGTATTGTTGAAAGAAATCGGCCAAGTAAGAGCTGAGAAAAAGTGGCAACAGACATAAAAAAAAAAAAAACACATCATGGTAAAATTAATACCTTCTCAGCTTTGCATCGAAGCTAAAATAAAATTTTTTTTTTATTCGTAAATGTTTTTACTAATTAGTAATTATCATTAAAACTTCAAAAATATTTATAAAAAATTGTAATTACAGCAGTAATTCTAATCCATTATTTTTTTTATTAAACAAATTTTAATATAGAAATTTTATTTAGAAAATTAATAAAATATTTTTTAGTGTTGCTATTCCATTACCAATTTTAACAAATGATGCTAATAGAATTACATTGATTCATTTGAAAACTGGAGATATGACTAAATTTAGCTATTCTAACTATTCAAAATGTGTTTTAATGAGCTTAGATATACGATCGTCCAAACTAGACAATAATAAGAAAGAAATATTAATAAGTGATATGAAAAATTATACGATTAGTCACTTTACTGCACATCTACCCCATATTAACAATATAATTCTTTGTTTGATGGTGAGTATAAATAAAAGTTTCAATTTTTGTTAGATTATTAACTGTATATACTTACAAATGATTATAAAGATTTTGACTTAGAGAACAACATAATTTTTATGACTCTAAAAATATCAGTTATTTAAGTATAATTTTATTGAACGACCTTATTTTATCCCAAAAATAAAATATTAATATCAATAAACTATGCTTCTTTTAATACAATTCCGTTTAAATGTGAATCAATATTCTCATTTTCGCATATTGAAAATGTATAATAAAATTATACATTGTATAAAATTGTATGGTAAAAATGTAATTAACTATGCAAGGTACAAATAAGTTATTTTATTTTTTATTCCATATGTATAATTTTGATGCCTTTGAGTTAACGAAATATACATTTACTTTATAAAGAATGATTATTAAGTAAGCAAATCGTGCTTTACTTACTGAACACTATATATTTTTATAATTTCTCAGTAATAAGTATAAGACTAAATTATTGAACATCGGTTTTATACTTAATTGTTATAATAAATAAATTGTTTATAAATTATAAAACTTGTAATCAAGATATAATTAAGGATATAGGTAAATTATGCTTTGGAAGTGATTTTAAACAATATCAGACATCATTATTACTTGTCCCAGTCATGATGCGACCCCAATGTGTTAGACTGATTTTTAATCATCAGATTTATTTAGACAATTATTTTTTTAAATAAAACATAAAGTTACCAAAAAAATTTTTATTTTTTTTTGTAGGGTCTTTTAGAATAAAATTTTTGAGGAACTAGTTGTATTTTTTCCTTATTCTAAAAATAACTATTAATTGTTTAAAATTGAAATGAATATGATATAGTTTTTCTATTCAATTAAAAAATAATCTGTTAAACAACTAACATTTGATTTATTTATATTTTTATAGGAAGGTTTTGCATTTCGACTACAATCAATTCATTTACTCAACGTCCCAAGTTTTGGAGTCTCAGTCATCAATCTATTTTTGAATAAAATAAACAAAAAACACACTACAAAAGTAAATAATTAAAAATCCATAACAAATAAAACACTTATTTAAGAAACGGGTGTGTTATTCTTTGGTCACCACAATTAAAAATGTGATACTATAATGATAGTTAAAAATACAAAGTTTTATTGTTTTTTACTAGTTTAATATTTTGGATTAATATCAATTCACTAATAAGTGGTTTAATTAAAATATTTCATCTAGTAGTATACTCAGTTACAAAAAAAAGCGCAAAAGTATAGTACTGCAGTTTTCTTCAACTCGATATGAATAATAAATCATAATTATTATTGAATCTGGTGTGTTACTTATTTTACCATGATAAACATTTTTTATAGGAGCTATCTAAGTTCCTAATCCTTGTTTAATTTAAAAACTCTGGCTTCTCTGAAATTACAATTATCAAAGTATATAAAAAAAAAAAATTGGTAAATTTTTTCATGCATAATAAATAAGATTTAACTGAGCAAATTTTAATTCAAACTTTTTAATTTTTATATAATTAAGGAAAGTTGATTTTTGAATTATAAATTATTTTTTGTATTCACTTTATAATACTTTATAAAGGAAGTCAACTTCATTAATACAAATGGTAACATACATAATTCGATATTGACTTTCGAACTTTTAGGTGACTCCATTTCACAAGCATAAGATAATAACTAGTCGATAATAACTTTTATAAGACAATTATAGTGTATGAGGTTTAAGTGACTTATTTATAGTTACAAAATTGAGTTCAGAGTTATTGTTTTCCATAATACTCTAAGTAAATAATAAATACAAATTTTATAATGATTATTAGTTTTTTTTTAACCTTTTTTAAAATTTTTATTACTAGGGAGAACTATATTTTGTGTTGAAACTTTACTCATAATTATTATATATTTTATTTATTTAATTTTATTTTGAATTATTATTATTATTTAATGCGTGTAGATTTATTTTCACAAAGAAGTTGACGAACTGAAAAACTATATTGACCCTGCTATTCTTCCAACAAACTATGGCGGTACATTTCCGAAAACATCAGAAGAATTAATGGGTAACTATGATTAATTAAAATAATGAAAACCATTTCCCTACTATTACATACATAAATCAATAAACAAGTATTATAAAGTGAACTATTATGATGAATCATATTGTATGTGAGCTGAATTACTGATTAGAAAATAACAAGTCATTACAATAAGATAATTTTTTTTATATTATTATTGGTTTGAATTTTTTCATGTAGAAAAAAGTTGATTTTACTAAAGTTTTTTAATAGACCATGTCTATTCAAAAGTCTTTATAATTATATAAATTTATATATTATATAAATAAAACTAGAATGTATTAAATGCAGTATATCAATTTAAATAAATACTAATTTAATTAAGATCTGAATATTTCTATTGCAGCATTTTATTAAATGCCAATAGTTATATTGAAATGATTTCTATTAAAATTGTTCATTACAATATAAATTTAAAATGTATATATTTCTTTATATTATTTATAGACGATTGGAAAAATGAAATGTTGAGACATCGTGATTGGTTTGAAGATAACAATAAACTCCTTGTAGATGAAAAAAAACGAGTGAAAAAATCTAGTTATACTTTTGACAGCGTGGACGGTTCATTTAGAAAATTAGAAATTGATTGAGTGGCATTGATTTTTATTACTAAATTTATTTTTAAAATAATAAAAAGATGAAAAAATTTCATTCATATTTATTTAATCTTAATAGTATTTTAGACAGTTTTTTGGCTCATCTAAAAAATGATGAAAATTTAAATAGGAGTTTGTTATGGTTTATCCAGATGAAATGCAGAATTATTAATTTTTATATTATTAAAACATATTTTTTTAAATAGTTAATAAATTTACAATAAAATTTTAATTGAATATATTTTTGCTTTAGTAATTTTATTTCACCAAAGAGAACAAGAGTTAATTGAGTACACTTTAATATCTCGTAAACTAGTAGTTTTAAGTCTTAGATTATAAGAAACAAAAATAATCATTTATTTTATTATGTGTACAGAGTTTGACTATTGATATTAATCGAAAAAGACGAAAGCTTATAGGAGTGATGTAAAATTTTAAAAAATATTCTAAAAGTTAGTATGTCTTTTGATTTTGTTCAGTACTGTATCTTTTTTTATTAATAAATGATTAAATCGATTTAATAGATTCATATCTTATTTTTATAAGGATAACAAGTTTATTTTTTAAGGTAATAGACATACTAAACTAGCTTAAAAGTTACAAAAATGACCTAATTATTAAAATGACAGTTGGATAACAACTTATCACAGATGGACCCAATATTTCGAAATTTATTACTATTTTAAAATATCGGCAATGAGGTACAGGTATGACTATTTTTATCATCAGGAATTTCTTGGGTTATACTTATCCTTCCGGACATTTTGTATTGTATGATGTAGTTAAATTAAAAAAATCTCATACTCTTATGAGTGTAAGGATTGGGTCGATAAAGTACTTAATGATTGAAAATCGTTTTTATTTTGTGAGTAACCGAGTGGATAATCCTGTAATTTTAAAAAATATCGAGGAGTACAGACCCCATGAACCCCGACTGGATTCATGCCGTACCCTAGAATTTTTCTTTAGGACGAATCTGAACTCATGTTGTCAAGAATTATTTTGGTTAACTTTTGAGGAAAAGAAACAATAAATGATTGCATATATATTGTTACCACGTAAATTATTAAAGCACGTATAATGTCCTAAGGTTACCTCTTTCCCCTTGTTTCTAGTGTAAATGCATAATACTAAATATTACTCAATTATAATAGTTGTATTGTGTGTGTACATTTGTTTGTATTTTAAAATCCTATTAAAACACAATTAAGTATAATACTTCCATACAAGACACACGCTATTGTATGCAAATACTATGAGCGAAAATTAAAGGAAATGGTTCGTCTCGGCGCATTTTGTTGCGTTACATGTTCATCCGAGACACACGACCCGCGACGGGCCTCGATTGTGTTCTTAAGTATTACACTTCTATTGAAAACCGTATTTGCCAACGAATATTATGCATAGTAATCATACGCGTGGCCACAACAAAAAACGATAATATCTAATCGCATTTCACGATGCACCGCAGATAGATTGGTCCTTTATACTATCGTCGTGTTTATCCTTCTAATAACTTATAGATGCTTTGTGTGTACACGAATCGACATAATACAGCCGCAATTTTGATAACAATAACATTAATAATGTAGATGGCATGATAATAATTATTGTTATTACAAAGGATTAAAGTATATTATAATATATTTATCTATTACAACATTGAACAATTTCCATCAATGCTGACGAAAACATCCTAGTAATTGTATATTATAATGTACCGACAAAAATGTTTAATTTTGATATTACGATGCGCCAAATTAATAACTCATAATAATATTATTACAATTATATTATGTATAAATAAAGTGGCGATCATTTTTATAATATAAAAATAATAAATTCTAATATATTATATTATAACGAGTAAAATGTAGCTTGGAATTTGTCTTCTCTAAATATTCGTCCTGGCACCTCAAAACAACTTGATCTGGCCTTTTTAGCATGTATAAATATATGTATGTATGTTTAAGTGGAATAGATTATATGTGTATAGAATTATTAATTTTATATATTATATTTTTAATATATTTCAATTTTAATTAAAAAACTTTAAATCGGACCTTCATTGTTTACAACGGCCCCATTAAAAAAAAAAAAAGAATATGCGGAGATCAATACCCTTATTTATACGGACCTACGACTAATAGTAAATTTTCCATAAATAATACTGTACCATACACTCTAATATTTTATATCGTAATATTTTAAGTACTAGTTTGGCGAAACGTCCTCTCTAACAACCCGATTAAAATATCGGATAGGTCAAGGGTAGCGAAAGCGCCTTTTGTGTTATTTGCACACATCTCTAAGAAAGACTTCCTAATTTAATGTGTTATTATAATGTAATATCTAAAAAATAATACAGTAGTATGAAAAATAATCATCATAACTATTTAAAGGTTTCGTAATTTAAACTTTAGTTATGTATATGCTAACACTAGTTACTTTTTTGCATTGAGTGAAAAAAATATCAACTATTATCTGTTTTTTTTTTTTTTACAATAAAACCACGATTTCATTATTTAAAAACTGAATTTATTAGTTAATTTCCTGATTTAATTGAAATTTTAAATCTACAAATATCAAATAACTTTTTATCTGAATAAAATTATATGTTCGCATAGGTCAACTATACGATGATTTTGCGTTAATTTTTAAAAATTATGTTGCGCTACTTGTTTTGTGCTAACCATGATTATTATACAATAATACTTATAAAACAAACAAAATGAGAATTTTTATTTAAAAAATGTTAAAATTATTGTCATGTTCCAATTATAACGAATTATAATTCGACTGCAAAAATAGTAGCATAACCTATTTGAATATGTAAAATAACCTCTTGTTGGGTTATTACTTTTATTTAGTCAATCGATTATAAAAATGATCCACGTTAAATAGAAAGTGCTTATGTAAAACAAATTTAGATAAGATATAATAATTTTAAAATCAATACACGCACGAAACATTAATAAAGAATAGCACATATTAAGAATAAAGTAATTTATATAACAGCGTTATAATTTATAAATATTAGTCAGTAGTTTATACAATTTATATTCTCCATTTTGTAAAATATACTGTTTTTGTTTCTTACCTGTCTTTAGAAAATTGTAAATGTGACTCTTTAATGTAATTCCTATTTCAGCTGTATCATTCACAAAAAATAAAGAATGCACTTTATGATATGTTATCATTTAATTTTAATTTTGTGGTCATCATTAATCAATCAACCAGTAATAGTCTTAATTATATTATTTTCTATTTTATAACTAGTGAATTATATAGATTGTCATTAAAAAAAAAATGAAGTTGACACCTCTTTAAAGATACCTGAAGTAAAAGTGCGCATTTTGTAGTATGATAGTTAAAAACAATTTTTATTTTTATTAATTAGACAAACCATTAAAAAATACAAATTAAGTATCAATAGTGAGTATATATATTTATATTCTTGCAAAACTAAATATATAACTAATAAAGAATATAATTTTTTTGATAAGTGTAACAATATTAAAAATACTATGAAAATTTATATTGTAATTAAATACGTTGCATTACGTCATTTTTAAATGAAACTAAATTTATTATTTAAAATAAAATTTACAATATAATAACAATGTTTATAACTGTATAAATTGTTAAAATAATTAAACATTTTTTTATTTGGCTTAAATTAATTTTCCATTTTCACTTTTCATATATTCAACGAAATTAATTTTTAGCACTCAATAAAAAAAAAAAATGCGTTCACAATTGACGAACTGAGATTATTGTCTGAAACTTAATATTCTGTGTTTTATGATAAGTGTAATAAAGATAAATTGTGACTATTGAAACTATTGTCGACATATCGATAATGATTAAATTATGTTAAAATATAACAGTATTATAATTGAAGATGTGATAAAATTAGTAGTAATTAGTATTAGAGGTGTAAAATAATTAGTAGCAATAAGTGTTACAGGTGTGAAAAAAATAGTAGCAATTAGTTCTAGAGGTGTGAAAAAATTAGTAGCAATTAGTATTAGAGGTGTGAAATAATTATAAAAAAAAATATTTACTATATGGGGATATATAAGAGTGGTAATTAAACTTTACACTAACAGTCCTATATTCATCCTCAATTACATCCTACCACCTTTTATTCAGTATTTTACTTTTTCCTTCAACGTTCATTTCCATATCCGTTCTTACAGCTTTCGACTTCTCCAACTTAAATTTCTTATCTTTGCTACACTCATATATATTGTACTTTCTTATCCATTGTAAATACTCTGACTTATAAAATATAGTTGATTTATTATTGTCAAATAGAAATTATCTTTTAGCCACATGACTTACTCGCACTCAATCCTACATCTCACATTCACGGTTTTTTTTGTACGAATGGTCTTAAATATTACCTATCACAACCTCGTTTATTGTAATTACTCTTCTCGTTTAATCACCCTCGTTTACTTTGACAACAAACTAATACTCTCATTATTTTATATTACTTTTACTAAATCTGAATCCCTTTTTTTAAAAAGCTGATCTCCATATTTTAACTCTTTAGTTAACTTCCTCTCTATTTTTTCATATCAATACCATATTATCAACAAAGAACATGAACCACTTGAGAATATTTGATAGTTACTTGGGAGCTAATAAATTATATTATAAATCAACGTCAAAAAAATGAAGAAATATAAATATAAATTTACAAATATGTTGATAAATATCAACTTATGTTTATTTTAATATATTTAATTGATTTATACGATATTAATAAATAATAAATTAAAATAGTGTTTAAACCACGATTATTGTGACAACCTTTGATAATTCTTTTTATATTTTTAAATAAGAAAGTCAAAAACCGTGTCTTTGATATCAATCCTTAAAAAATTGATCGAGTATAAATCATATTAAATGAAAATGAATCTTACCATTATATTATACGACACTTGTTGAACTAATTTATTTTACAATATAAAACCACAATTTCAATTATCCCAAAGCCAATAATTGTAAACATTAACAAATAACATCGTATTTTATATATTATGCATTATATTATATTTCTATTTATGTGCATTTTCTTTTAGTCACAAATATAAATGATAACTATGAGATTCAGAGCTGGCCATACGATTAGTAACTGTATTGTAGCAGGAGAATGATATCTCCTACTAAACATACATTAGAAAATATTTAATGTAGTAGTCTAATGTTCCATTCAAATAAATTAACCTTTAATCGAAACTATTAATTTATCAACTTTTTTTTTTAATTCATTTAATAAAAAAATTTGATCCTAAAATAAAATTATAAAATATAACTATATAATAATTTTTTTTTTAATAATCAAAAGAAAAAAATTTTCCTTACAAAAGGACTAGTTTTGAAGTAATAGGATTTTAAATACTAATGGTTATAATTAACTTTAATACAACCCTTATAGATTTAATACATAATACTTTTCTCAATCAAAATCAATAGTTTAAATGATATAAATATAAATTTAAAATGGATTACGTTTGTAAATATAAATAATTAAATAAAAACAAAAGTTCCAATGATATCACATAAAACATAAATTAGTAAGCTAAAATACAATAAATTGATTTGAACTGATTTTAGATAAATTAAATTTGTAAATTATTTTTATATTTTATATTAAACTTATTAATGTTATTGGTGTAATTTATTAATACAGATATGAACTTTATTATGTAAAACATTTAAATTAAAATATATCTATAGTTTTTTAAATTATGGATGTGTTTGAAGATAATTCTTTTGTACAAAAATTACTCGAATGGTGTTTAGCAATTTCTATGGTATAAAGTGTTCAGTAAGTAAGGCAACGTGTTTCTATTGTTCTCATTGTTTGTAACAACTGACTTGTTTCCTTACTTACTGTAAGAAAATGTGACACATTATCTTTAAAGGATAATTTCAAACTAAAGCAAAAAAGCTCATATTTTACTTAATAAAATGAGTCAGTAAAGAGTTTCTTTTTCTATTTGGTTTTTATTATGAATTTTATGTTATAAGTTATTAAACATATTTCATTTGTACTTAAATTACAAGACTTTAATAGAAATGTAAAACGGTAAAAGTAATTGCTGTTGGTTATAATTGCTAAAAAAGCAACAATTTAATTTTCTCAAACCCACATAGCAAAAGAAATTGATGTAGTCTCGTTAATCATTATTCATATTTTTAGAAAAATATAAGAATAATATGTCAATATGTAATGTTGTAAGTCATATACTTGCTACCTACAAATAATTACTATTATATTATAAAAGTTATTATAATATTTCATTAATATTCTAATGACAATGAGAAATGAAGATTGTATTATATAAATAATATGTGTATGTAAATACTTACAGCTCAAAATTAAAGCAACACCCCAAATTTTGAAGAAAGTTAATCGTAGCTTTTATTGAATTATATTTTAAATGAACTAAACAAAAAAAATAAACTAATTCGGAGTAATTTAATACTAAAGAAATGAAACGAAAATAAACATGCAAATTATAAAGTTGTTTAAATATATAAAATTTGCATATGGTGTTTATTTATATAAAGAATCCCGAGAGAAGACGTGCATATTCGATTATTTGATAAAAAATGATATTAATGTTTAAAATTTAAACAAGACATATCTACAAAAATTCATCCATTAAAATACAGCTAACAAAAAACAACAACAAATAATTCACTTAAAATTTAATTTTCTCAGATTTTTAAATTTGTGAGTAAACATCAAATATTTGTATTAACTCTTGAAATTTACTTTAAATTAGTGTTTAAAAACTATATTTTATGGATTTTTATTATTTTATTTTAATATTATTTTTTTTTTATATTTTATGAATGTAATTAAAAATATTTTAGTTATATGTGAGAGTTCATTTTTATTGATTTGTACGATAATTACTAAATATAAAATTTATATTATACAATACAATATTATTGTATCATGAAGTAAAAACAATTAGAGGAATGCAGAAAAAGACGGTAACGTAAACATTTGGAGATTCATAACTTTCTTAAAAAACTTTTTTTCACTATACAATACGTACAATACTGAATACATTGCACATTCTTAGCTTCATGAGTATGTATAGTACCACAGAAATTTGTTTGTTCTATGGAGAATGATTCCTTCTAACTAATGCATTATTTAGAGTTAAAAATATTATTAATATTACTTGGGATGATTAAAAAGTCTTTTATAAATGCTTTAATTCGCGAGCCCTGTTTATAATAATCTTATATTTGGTTTCTAATATAATTATTTTCAATATGTTTTTATTGCATGTTTTTTTTTATTCTGAGAAGTATTAGGAAATGTTTGACTTATTCTTTTCTTGAATTTACCCTTTTATTAATTGTAATAATGTAATTTTTTCAAAGATACAATTACTCATAAATTTAATTTATAATCAAAACCAATTTAAGGTAATTAAAGTTTATTTAAGTTAAGTACATTTTTGTAAACCAAACTTTTAAAGTTTTGTTTTTTTTATTAAATTCTTTTTTTAATTAAAATAATGCACTTCAAGTATTATGTGTGGTTATTGTATCGAAATTTTATCAGCTGACATTCGAAATTCGAATCAAAGAGTTCAGGTATAGTTTCATTTAAGTAGACTCAAATTTTGAAAAGTTTATCGCATCGCTACATATTATACAAAAATATATATGAACCAATTTCTTCCCTTGTTGTTATAATTAGTTGACAATTGTTGCCATACGTAGTGATACACTCTAAAAGATGATTCAAGAAATTATTCGATGTTTAGCTCTCATTGCTGAAATCGTTGAAGTTTTGGGCGATTAGCACAGTTGAAAGTTGGTCATTCCATCGAGTACTTACATGAAAACAAGTAATCGGGTAACCATTAGCACCGTATAGTATTACATATCCGTTGGTTAAGTAACGATGAGAATGACAAAATGTATAACAAGATAAATTTTAATAATCTTGTTGAATGAATGTATACAAAAAACAATTTGTGCACATTAGATGATTATTATGCTGACAACTATGATGACTGTACGGCGGGAGTATGTTTTCGAGAATTGGAAGCAAGAACGGTGGTGGGAACGGGCCGTGAATAGCAAAGAAGAAGAGAAGAAGGAACCCTTGCGTGCTCATCACTTTTACCCGTTCTTCGACAACGGTCCTCAGTACGTGCGCGTAGTCGGGTGAGTTTACAAATGCAATACTATTGAAGAAGAAGAATTCACGTGCCAGGTAAGATTGTTTTATATACACTCCCTACATATTATTTATTTTTAACATGTTTTTTAAAGACGTATTTTGCTTTGGTTTTACATTTAATCGTCAACATTTTACTAAAAACTATTAAAATATTTTAAATGTTTCTCTATAAATATCATTGACTTTCTTGTTTTTTACTTTTTAATTATTTTAGACTAAGATTATTCGTCAAAAAAATTTTTACAAAAAATTGCTACCGAGTTACGATTTTAAATACTAAAAATTGAGACTTTGTGCATTTATTTGAGTCATTTCTTAGACATCAAGTCCATGCAAATATAGTATAGTTATACTCTTAAGCTAAGACAATTTTTTTGTTCGAGGAATAATCCTATAACATAACTAATAAAAATATTTAATGTTAAGTTTTAAGAAAAAATAATATGAATATTATTATGATAAATTCAAGATGACTACAACAATTTTCATAAATGCAAAAAGTCCCGAGTCCTACAAATTTTGATTCCGGTAAAATTACGTCAATATAAAATAGTATTGTATCCAAATGTCAACATGTTATTTTTTAATTACGTGAATCTTCAGTAGTTTAACCGACTATAATAACAAAATTATTGTATTAATGGATATATTATACACAGTTGCAAATTAAAAATACGTTGCCTAAACGGGCCGTGAAATGTCAAACAGGTCTTTTTGAGTAATATTTCACTATTATTAAGTGGTAAAATTATTCATTACCGATACCGGTCAAACGAGACTCGCTGGTATCTTTGATGCATCAGCCACCGTTTGTTGATGCATTACCGAAACATAAAAATAACCTGTTGTTGTAAAAGTAATACAATACAGATTCGAATAATAAAACGTATAGGTATATTTTGGTTGAATAATAATGGGAAGATGACATACATCTACGCGCACTGGATTCGACCATTGATGTAACCGCTACATTCAAGTTGTTCGACTACTCGTGGAATTAATTTACCTAATATCGAGAAGTTATTTGTCGGATGTAGAATAAATTATAATCTTTACAGGCTTGGTTTGTAAAATCAGCCTAAAATCCGCGGCGATTACGAGTGAGCACTTTGAGCTTATGTGATTTAATGTGCGACTATTTCCCTAGGTAAAGTAAATTGATAATTAATTTTTTTGGTGAGAACACGATTAGGAAATCTCGCAAAGAACGGCCATCGCTATTATCTCTTAATTGTGAAGGTTCTATTCTCATAGAACAATACAACTATGTTACTCGGATTGCTTTCGGCCAATTATACCGAGTGAAAAATCACACATTTAAAACATTTAATTCATCATCAGAGATTCAATTAACAATCATCAACGGTAATTTTATTAAAGATGCTAATTAAATGTGAATGTTGTTTTGACATATATTTTACTACGAATATATAATACTTAATAAACACTTTTCTTTTAAAACGAAGTTTCAATTATTTTATAATAATATTGAATTTGTGTGAAAATTTAATGGAATATTAATTAAGGAATATCCGTTTAATGTTCTTCCGTAGACGAATTTAGACTCTCTAAAGTTTAATGCAAAAACAATTTTTTCTTCAGTAAATTTGCGATGAACGTGTACATTTTTTTTATTAAATAAAATATAGACAAAAGATTTTTTGTAATATAAGGTATTTGAAAGAAATAATTGTTTCGTTACAAATTATTGAAGTAAAAGGAAAAAATATAGACGTGAGATAATCGCTTTTAAATTTATTTCTATTAAATACAATATTAGTCCTTTTTCGTGCAACAGTTTAAATTTTAGTTTTCGCTAATTTTATTATTACGTATGAATAAAAAATAAATTAATTTAGTACTACAGTTGACCATAGTTTTATATGGAAATTAAAAAAAACACTTTATAAACTAACACAGATTCTACATACACGTTAGAGTTCAAATATTAGATGTTTGGGTCATCACCTTTGTCTTATCTTATGCCTCATATACATACTTATATAAGATGTATAGATTTCATATTATGTACAAACCAATACATTTTGTATCTTTAAAAATGTTACCTAACTATTAAGCAATTTAATAATAACTGACCAATAAATTGTATATAACATTTCAGTCAATACAAGGAATTTATAAGAAAATTTTATGAACAAGTTAAAAGTGAAAATAAAAATTTACCTTTGTTTAATAATTCGGCTTATGAATCATCGTGATTTTATCACTGATAATTTCAAAACTAATAAAGAAAAGTCTCTCCAATTGTGTTCATAAATACAATTTTTAAGTGTTAGTTATCATTTATGTTCAATGAATAAAAAAATTATCTCGTCAAAATTTAAAATGTTAAATTTTCATAATGTGTTTATTACGAATATTCATTCAAAAATATTTAGACGAATCGTATTTATGAAATCACTTATTTACAAATAACTATGTTTTCATCGCTTTTTCGAATAAATCATTTTCAGTTGTATTTATCAATAGTCTATTAAAAAACGGTTAATTGGGTCGTTCAATATACCATTCAACAATAAAACTATTTGATGTATACTTATTGATAAAAATAGTAACTGGTTGATTGTTGTGTCAAAAGTATAACGGACACAAATCGTGGGTTCCAACGAAATTCAAAGGAATCTCCAAACGTTACTGCAAACGTGTAATCGAATAGTTCGACTTTCGCGCTAACGGATCAGCACGACCACATTCATCTCGTGCCCCGACAAAAATTACTCAATGCGATGACACTGTATCAAAAAGTATAAATAATACAAAACCACCGATTATTTTTTACGCGAGAGCTCTCAGGCATTGCGACATCTGACAGACTACTACAATAATAAATTATAATTATATGCGTTTTATTGTGCCGGTTTAACTGCTGCAGCGGTAATGAGGAGCCCAGGGCAAATTATACTAATATCGTATGGTCTAATGAGTGATGGTGATTAACAAACACTCGATTCAAACATATTGACACTGCCTTGAGATTATTTATAGGAGAAACAATCGCTGGACGTTTGTAACCCGTCAAAGTCTAGTTCATATGTTATAACGATTATGATTGTTTTCATAACTGTTTTTCGCGTGTAACGATGGCACCAGAGTTTTAGCGTTTTGGAATTGGTAAGAAATGACCGATGGATTAGTTATGGAATAGAAACAAAACAGAATATTAAAAATGAATACGTCAAAAAAATACTAATTACGGTCTAATAGCAAGTATGACTCGACACGTTTTTCGCGGCGGTCCCGTCGGCCGCGTTACGTCAATACCGTCAAAAGGACCACGACGGCGCGCCGTTTACTTTCTTCCGGTAAGACCCCCGACAGCAGTCATTAGCAAATAAGGAGGAGAGGATGACGAAGAGGAGAAAGCATATGCATACACGTGTACTTTACCGACTTGTACGGCACTGGTTATGTACAAGAGCTGGGTCATGCCATCGCAGCAGGAGGTCACAGCCCGCGCGCGGTGGCTATAAATATTGTATGTGCGTACACTTTGCGAAGGTGTAGGTGCGCTCATAGCACACACCGCTGCGCTATTATTATTGTAATTACATTAGTAACTTGTCGGCTACCACGACAAACGTCGAACGAAATAAAAACTTGTTGGTCGAACACGTTCCGCCCTGAGGCGTCTGATCGCGAACATCCAAAGAAATCGAAAGTCGAAACGGGTCATAAAAAGGTCGCGGTCTTGAGTGCAAAGAGCGACACGCACCGTAAGAGTTCGAGAAAAAAGGGTGGGAATAACGGAAAGATCTATATGGACATCCGAAATCATTATACAATACCCATAGGTACGTCATTTAGCAAAAATGTGCAACCATGTGACAGGAAACGCGGCACTAGTTCACGACATCTTCGGAGAAAGCATACTCGACATTAAATTGTATGAGTTCATGTGTTTACGCGCATTCAAGTCTCTCGTGTGGACCTGAGATACCGCGATACCTTTCTTACAAAAACACATTACTCTTACTTCTAACTTGATGGCTATGAATAGTAATCGGAGATTTTGATATTATTTTATACGCTTATAATAATATACTTAAAGGTTATATGGGTGCTCGAATAAATGATTTATTTTAATATTTTAGGCCTTGACTAAAAATTAGATACCCATTTACTTGTTACAAAATAAGGTAAACTATACGTATTATTCAGCATTGATAGACCTTTTACTTTTTCTCGTGTTTTTAAACTCATATTTTTAGATAGGAAAACTGATCTAGACAAAAATAAAGTATACTTTCTTTGGCCGTTTTTTGCATCGTGCACGTTTTTATATTATATTATTTTATATTGTATAAAAGTATAGTATAGTATTTTATATCAAGTATAGTATGCTTAGTGATGATTAAGAGAGACCCTAGAAAGTTTACCAAATAATGCAATTGATCATGAACCTCTATACAGATAATTCACTAACTCATTAATGATCTGAACATCATTATATCGAACTAAAAACATACTGTTATATTTTCTAGAATCATTAATGAAACTTTTGCAGTTCACTCATAAATGAATGTACCTAAAGATATGAAACATAACAGCATTTCATTACAAATGATAAATGACGACATTCAAAATAAATATCAGTGGTCGTTCTATTCGTTAAATTTATCATAAAAAACACATTTACTCGACTACTATAATGTGAATTTGGAGATTTTCAGTTACTATATGCCTAAATTTTACAGTGATATGATAATTTAACGACTTGTTTCTATTTTTGGTGAGAATAAAGGTTCGCGATCAACATTTTCAGTGACATTTTAAGTACCGAATTAAAGATTGATGACAGTAAAATACGTGTAGTACTAAGCTGCATGGGTCGAACGTTTGTATTAAAATTTATGATGAAAACATTTAAAACGGCAGTGATATTAGTTTACAAGAGGCCAAACTGTTACGTCGTTTCTAACATATAAAAGAGATCCGCACGGTTTAGTGATAAAAAAATAGTGTTTAATGGAATGATAATAATCGAATGGTTTCACTGTCGTCGGACTTTCTGG